TATATATATATATATATCTTTCCCCTTTCCATTTTACTTCAGTAAAGTATGCTGTGTAGAAAGAATACCAAATGTCATGTAGAAAGAATCATTCAACATTTAAGACTGACTGGAGATCCTTGTTGGTTGTACACACATCCACAGTTCTTTGGTTAGTGCTGACACAGGTGCACTGTAGTTTAGTTTGTTCAACCATTTCTCCGCTGATGTGCACTTGTGTATTTTCTAGAGTTTCTGGTGATCTGGGGCAAATGCCCAAGGTTAAAATTCTGAGTCATACGGTCACTGGATGTTTAAGCGGTTTTATTGTTTGTCGGTTTGTTTGTTTGACCCAGGGACTTACTGTATATTCCAGGCTGGCCTAGAATTTACCGTTGTCCTGCCTTAGCCTCCTGTGGTGACTGTAGGCATGCAGAAACCTGCCCAGCTGTATTTAGTTTTTGAGGTAGCTGACAAACTGATTTCCAGAATGGCTGAGTTGTCATTCCCACCATCAATTCAGTATCTTCACATCCTTGATATTATTTATGCCGTCCCTGGTTTTTATTTCAGGCATTCTGACTGGTGTGTAATAACATCTCAGCATGTTTTGGTGTGTATTTTATTAATGTTATTACTAATTTGCATTCCTCTCTAACCTTGACTATCTCTTCATGTGTTTATTCACCATCTGTATAGCCTCTTTAGTGAAGTGTCTCATGTGTTACCACGCAAAGAGCATGGAAGGCAGAGGGCTCGTCCTCCACGGAAGTGAGCTTTGCTCTGGCTGCTCCAGGTTTTAAAGAGTTGCCTTTCTCCTTCTCTGCCTTGTCTCCTGCTCCCATTGTGTCCTTTCGCCAGCGTCATGGGCTGCAGCATGCCTGACCTGTGCAATCAGGGCCCATAGAAAGAAAGGGTCAGAAAAAAGGAGGAAAGCCCTTCTCTACTTAGGCTACAAATAGTAGTTTCCCAGAATTATTCGCCACGTTGCCCTTTATTCAGTAAACATTCCCCTTGTCGCTTGGAGAAAATTATTTTGATTTAATAAATTTAGTAAGTTGATGGTACACGTACGTAATTGATTTTCCATAGCATGGCTTGGAAATCCAATTGGAAATATCAAAATTCCTCGGACGCAGTGACCTTTCATTGGCTTTATTCCTTTGGAAGGAGAGCTAAGCCTGTGGATGTTTTTATCTTTCAGGTTGTACTTGTATGCCCACCTTTTTAGTGCTGACAAGTTGTTTCAAAGTTGTTTGCTTTATGTGAAAGGACTCTTTGAAGATGCTCTGAACCTCAAAAAGAACAATAAAGACAATCCCTCAGCTGTACGCCTTATGAAGGTGGGTAGAGGCACCCGCCGCCACCAGTCCAGGCGCAGACACCGCGAGGGCGCCCCAGAGGCTTGAATGGAAGCAACCGCAATTCCTAGATCTGTACACCACTCAGTGTGAGTGACTGACGTGGTGAGGCAGTGGTAAAGAACATGGCAGTCAACCGTGGGAGTCAACATTTCTCAGAAATTCCGGCTGATATTTTAGCAGAAGTGACTGAAGCCCTTTATTGTCAAATGTCTCTCTACAGTGCGAAAGTATTTGTAACACACAGTAGTTAATAGCTAACCATCCCTTGGTATTTTCTATGCCAAGAGTTCATCACAAAGCAGAATTCAGTGGTATTGGTTTAAATAAATCAACTTTACTGTGAGAGGGTTTTAGGAGATGAGGGCACCCGTGGCCTGACTTAATCAGTTTGTGGTGGAATTGTAAGCCTTAAGTGCTTCATCCAGAGTTAAACCAGATTCCAGCTGGTTTCACTTTGCTGTTCCAGTATGTGGGGAGACCCTGGAAGAATCCACACCTAGCTCAGCACTCAGTGTAAGTTTAGAATCAATGATAGACAGTATGAATTGTTCAGTGTCCTCTGAGGAAGTGAAAATTGAGGAAAATAAATTAATCACTACAGATAAAATGTATTTTGTTTGTTCTATTTTGGTTTTTTTGTTTGTTTCTTTGTTTCTTTGTTTGAGACAGGGTTTCTCTGTGTAACTTTGGCGCCTGTCCTGGAACTCACTCTGCAGACCACGCTGGCCTCGAACTAACAGAGATCTGACTGCCTCTGCCTCCCAATCACTGAGAATAAAGGCACACACCACCTCCACCTGGCTGTATTTTATATATCTGCATTGAGGATTTAGTATTTCTATCTTGCCTTTCTCTTAGTTTTATGAGACAGGATCTCTCTGTGTACATCAAAATTATGAAATCCTATTTAACTATGTGACAATTCAGGGATAAACATCTTAATATAGTCTTTGTGTGTGTAGGAGGAAATGCCTAGTTTAGGTTGTCTTATAATTCAATGGATAATAAAGCTTTTAAACAAACGATGAGTAGGGCAGGTGTGGTAGTGTACACCTTTAATCCTAACACTTGGGTGTTTTAAAAGGTATTTTGGATGCTTGGTAAGGAGTTAGATACTATGTCTTGTCTGTTGGGGAGAGTATGACGGTCGGGCAGATTGACTACATTGTCAGCTAGTGTCGCAGGTAACCCTGGTGCCAAGAACATTTGGGACTGTTCCTAAAGAAAGCAATGCTAGTGAGACCCTGACTCAAAAAATTTAATTGCATGTAACTATGGGTATTTAAATTTTAAAAACATTTTCGCTATAAGTTAGACTCTTGAAAAGAGTCATCATGAAAAGGTGAGCATTTGTGTAGGGAAAGCTGTAGCCACGCCTTCTTAGGGGCTGGCTACAGGTGTGCCTGACCAGGCTTGTGAGGGCATGGTCAGAGTGACGTAGTGGGACTGCGTTTTTCGGTTTTCGGTTTCGGTTTCTCTTTGCTTCTTGCTGTACAGACCTCTACCACGCCAGCTGGCTAGGTTGCTCTGTAAGTAAGGCTTTTCCCTATTAAATACCCTTATATTTCTACCTGACTCCGTATTGGTAATTTCCCACAATACATTTGCCTTATCTCTTGCTCTTTGTAAGTGACTTTTCATTTTCAAACCTGCACCATTTGCTGCCTTTTAATTAGGTGGACAATTCCCGAACTTACACTCTGGACACGTTTTGTGAAGAACAGATACAGCAGGCCACCCAGGCAATGGCACAGCTTGAGGAGATCAAGACTAAGGCAATTGAAGAGATGAAAAGCACAGTCTTAAAGGTAATTCTGTGGAGTGATTATTCCAAGTTGCGTTCCTGAAAAAAAGCATTGTAAATGGACAGTAGAGTCAAAGGTGGTTAATTAGCCAATCAACTAGTGTTAGTATTTACTATGTCTAAGAACTTTTTCAGTCATGCTGCAAAATGCAATAAGGCATGCAGGTATGTGTTTGTAGATGTATATCTATGAGTGTATGAATTATAAATATCTCATGCTATTTCAAGACGCTTCCTATCTAGCCCGAGCTGACATATAAAGGGACCCTGAATACTAACAAAGTTCTTAGTGTTCACAAGATGAAGAAAACTCCACTGCTCAGGAGAAACATCTAGATGAAACGAAACGTTACTGAGGTTTTTATAAAGAGAATTCACTAATACAGGGAAACCTTGTCTGCCAAGGCATTCTGACCCCACGTGCTGCTGGAGATCCCTCAGCGTAAGTGCCTGGAGTCACTCCCCTGCCTGTCCTCCCAACAGACCTGCTTCTGAGATTCTGAACATCATTGGCTTCAGAACACACAAGGACTCTCTCTTCTTGACAGTGTTTAAATATAGTGTAAACGTGGGGTAAAATGTTGATGAAAGTTGATGATAAAATTTAGTTTTATATACTGCTCAGGCTAATTACAATACTATAAACCCCGGATCGCCTGCATTAACATAGGGAAATGCCATGTTTCCCAACTACTTTATAAATTATAGGTTGCAGAAAAGAAAGACCTTATAGAATTCTTTGAGTCAAAACCATCTGAAGTCGACACAACACATTTTAAGTTGCCCCAGTATCGGTGTTTGTTAGAAGCAAATATGAAGTTTTCTAGGCTGATCGATTACCTGTTTCAAGAACTCATTCGTCAGCTCATGAACTCTACACTCAGCCAGCTTTTGGGTCTCTTCAGTGGCTCTGCTAGAATGCCGTTTTCAAAGGAAAAGAACAATGAAAGTCTCATGAAGTAAGTCCCAAGCTTTGACTAATAAAGGGAAGTTATATTCTTGTAATACATTGCTAACTATGGAGAAAATATCCAAGAATTAAAGTTGGACTTTGGAAATCTTCCATGTAGCAAACAACTTACACTCATTTATGTAATTCTTATCATCAATAATACCTTAATATTGTCCATGAATTGAAGGAAAGTTTGTGTTTTTCCCTTTAAATTCTGAGTAGGCCTTGTTCCTGTATAAAATACAAAGTGCTCAGTGAAATATGAATTTGAATTGCATGACTTAGCCTAACAAAATTTAAATAAGTTCTGTAGTTTCCTCATGTGGAAATAAAGCAGAAATTTCCTTATCAAGTGGAAATAGTAATAAGGACTGTGTCATCACGTTGCTGATAAACACAGAATAAATGCCTGATACATAGTAGCTGCCATCATGCGATCTGTATCGATCTGTATTTTAACACTTTGATTTTTGTTTCTATAATAACTAATGATGTTGAACATTTTTTCCTGTGCTTGTTGGCTGTTTGTTTTCCAAGGTCTTGAAGATGTATGTCTTTTGTCACATGTTTTGTAGCTTTAGCTTTTGAGTCGGCCTTTGATACGTTGCAAATTAACTTTATGTGTAGTGTGACAGGGATCATTTCCATAGGATCATTCTATTGTCCCAGAATTATTTTTTCTTCATCGAATTCTTTCGGCAGTGGATATTCCAGCCTGCTATAAGTATATAGATTTATTTCTCAACTTCATTTTGTTTCATCTATTTTTATGTCTATCTTTCTGTTAGTATCGTAGTGTCTTGATGATTCTACTTTGTATCAGGAACTGTCAGTCTTCCAACATTGCTCTTTTTTTCCCCTGATATTGTTTTGGCCATTCTATATGAACCTGCCGATTTCTGAAAAGAAATAAAAAATGACAATTGAGATTTTTACAGGTATTGTATTGAACCCATAGGGAAGGTAACCACATTGTAATTTTTATACTGCTTGAAAGATTTTGCTGGGGTGTAGACGCTGTAAGGGGAAAAATCGAGCCAGAAGGAAGACATCTAGAGAGACAGAAGGGATGCCTCTGGATAGAGGTAAGAGAAGAAATAAAGAAGAAAGAAATGAGAGAGAGACCCTAAAGCTGAATATGTGCTTTCCCTTTTTGGTCAGCCCCAGAGAGTTAAGTTTTGCCCCCTCAATAGAAGAGCCAAGATGAGTGATTAGTTTGCAGACTCCATGGGTCTCCCTCAATCCCTGAGCTGCTAAAGCCTGGTCCCCAGGACAATATCTCAGGTTTTGCTTGCTTGTTTGTTTGGTGTGTGTGTGTGGGGGGGGGTGGTATGTGGTTTAATTTCCAGCCCACACAACACAGACCTGTCCCCTGTGACGTTTCTCTGGGTTGAGGTTATTCTCCAGCAAAGGGAATCTTTGCTGCAGATATTTGAGATTTTTTCTTTTTTATTATTAGTTTTAATTACCCATATTTTCATATCCACCCCCATCCCCTCGCCCTCCCATCATCCCATGTTCCCCACACAACCCATCCCCCGACTCCTCTCCAGGGATAGTGAGGCCCTCTACCAAGGGCCTTCAAAGTCTGTCATATCGTTTGGGGGAGGGCCTAGGCCCTCCTTGCTGTATCTGGGCTGCAATAGTATCCCTCCACCGGGAATGAGCTCCCAAAGTCCATTTGTGCTCTAGGGTTAAAGACTGGCTCTGCTTTGAGAGGTCCCATAGGCTGTCTTGGGCTCCTAACTGGCACCCACACTCAGAGGGTTTGGTTTGGTCCAATGCTGTTTCCCCAGCTTTATGACTAGGGTCTCCATTCTATCATCAGGTCAGGTCCACTGTTTCAGCAGGTCTCTCCATCCCCGTCTTGGCTCCTTTGCGCAACCCTCCTCCCTCCCCACAACTGAATTCCAGTAGTATGGTTTAGTGCTTAGCTATGGGTGACTGTTTCTGCTTCGAACAGCAACTGGATGAAGACTCTCTTTCCTCTCCCTGCCCCCAGGCCCCAATTTGGTCAGGGGTTCTTGTCCCCGTCTCCTTCTTCAAGGGGCTATGCAATCTTCTCTTGGGGTCCTCCTTGTTTCCTAGCTCCTAGGAGGCTAGTGATCCTTTGCTCTATGTCTAAAAATATTTGAGATGTTTTAACCCTTCCTGGATCCCCCTGTTTCTCAACTCCTTGTTTTCCTCACACATCAGGAATTGTGAGTGGGGGCCCGGGCCAGTCTCCAGTACACCCCAGCTCCTCTTGGTCTTCACTCCCACTCACACAAACACATGTTGGCAACTTATGATCTCCTGCGGGTCCTGCAACTGTTGGACCATTTGGATCTTAGTTGGCTCTGTGTTGGAAGTGGATCCTCTGTTAGTTTTTTGACGAGGGACTTTAGAAACATAATTCGATTTTGAATTTTAAACAAGCCAGAGAGTTTCTGTCTCTTGAGAAGGAAATCAAGATACCTTAAATTACATTTATACTTACTGTTCATTTTGTCAGTTGTTTTGGTCTTTCCCCTTTGTCCAATTTCCCGTTTTTTCTCATTTGTCTCTTTAGGTAGAACTGGATGATTCTGGCTGTACTCGTCTCTTGCTTCCTATCGGATGCTCTCAATCTCCATGTATTGGAATTTTCTGTTTATTTATGACTTCTCTGTCTTCCTGACTACAAGTTACTTCCTCTGGGGACACAGAGCGTAGTTTATCATAGAGCATGTGTGAGGATGGATGAGGCTCTGGGTTCTATCCACAGTCCCTGTGTGATGGATGTTCCTAACAGTGTACTCTATCTTTCCATCCTCCCCAGTTCAGACTCAATACCATGGAGTTTTCCGTTCTGCCCTTCTTCCTGCTAAAGTGAGACATCATTTTGTTTTGTTTTGTTTTTTTCGAGACAGGGTTTCTCTGTGGCTTTGGAGGCTGTCCTGGAACTAGCTCTTGTAGACCAGGCTGGTCTCGAACTCACAGAGATCTGCCTGCCTCTGCCTCCTGAGTGCTGGGACTAAAGGCGTGCGCCAACACCACCTGGCATGAGACATCATTTTTATGAGGTTGAGATCTGTATAACATGAAAGATGTCACCTGAAGCGTGCTGTTCAGCGTCATCACACACTTTCACAGAGTTGTACGGCCACCACCATCTACTTCCAGAATCTTCGACATAACTCCACATTACCCTCCCCTTTCTAAGCATGGCACCCTTTCTAAGAATGTATTCGTTCTGGGTACCTTGCGTATCTGGAATCATGGACATTGTTCTTTCTGTCTGGCATATTTCACTTAGAGTAGTATCTTTACGACCCATCTGTGTTGAAGCATGCATCAGAATTTCATTCCCTTTCAAGGCTCAGTCATGCTGTTATCTGTTGGCAGTACATTGTCCGTCTCTACTGATGTGTTAGATTTCTCTCCTGTGGACTATGGCTAGAATGCAGCTGTGCACTCTGGTTTGGAACATCTGCTTGGGCACCTCATTTCTGTTCCCTGCAGTATACACTTAGAATTTCTGGATCATACATTTCCACATTTAACATTTTAAGAAGCATGTCTCCAGTTTCCCACAACACTGTCTGCATCAGTCTAGTCTATAGCAGGAATATATACCAGGTTCTAATATTTTCACCAACATGGATCTAGTCTGGTGAGTGTTTTTTAACACAAATAATAAAAACCCAGAGACAGATATTGGGGTTCAAGCTGAAGACCAGAGAATCAAAGAGGCTAAGGCACCAGAGAGCTCTCAGTCTGAAATTTGGCGAATACAATCCGAGGTTTGGTGGATCGCCCATTCAATCTGAGCATTGGTAGGGGTGAGAGCCCTCTGGTGGCTGGCCACTTTGCTTCTCTGACCTTCAGCTTGAACCCCAATATCTGTGTCTGGGTTTTTACTATTTGTGTTATAAGTATGAGGTAATCTCTTGAGATTTTAGTTTGGTTTCCTAATCATTAGTGATTTTAATCACCTTTTCTATGCTTATCATCTACTAGTACATCTTTGGAGAAAGGGCCAGCCAAATTGTTTTCTTTCCCTGCTTGTGTGTGTGTGTGTGTGTGTGTGTGTGTGTGTGTGTGTGTCTGTGTGTGTGTCTGTGTGTCTGTGTGTCTGTGTCTGTGTATGTGTGTGTGTTTGGGTGTGATGTGGGGGCTGTCCTGCTGCACATGTGGGTGCCACCTAGATGTGGCGGTCAGAGGACATTGTCTCTTGGCTGTTTGTCCTCAGGTGCCTTCCACCTTTCTGTATGAGACACGATTGTTTACTGACCTGGAACCTTACCACGTAGGCCTGGCTCGTTAGCCTGCAAGCATCCAGGGGTCTGTCTGTGTCTCCCTCTTTTCTTGCCACCACAGAGAGTATATTGATGTCACAACCATGCCTGGCTCCTTTGTGAGTTCTGATGATTCAAACTCAGGTCCTCACACTTGCATGACAAACACTTCACCAACGGAGTTGTCAGCCCAGCCCTTTACCACATTGGTAACTTTCTTACCCTTCCTTCCTTCCTTCCTTCCTTCCTTCCTTTCTTTCTTCCTTCCTTCCTTCCTTTCCTCTTTTCTTGCTTGTTATGTGAATTCTTAATATATTCTCATATTAAATATTACAATATGTGATTTCAAAAATAAATTTGCCTCCCATTTCTTAATCTAGAGCAAGGAAGATCTTTTCTAGAAAGATATCAAGTGATGATGAAGAATTCATTGATTCACGTTTACCTCATCTTCCTCCTGTTCAAAACTTGGAACCCAAGCCAGACACTAATATTGATGCGGTAAGCTGCTCCTTAGAAGCATTAATACAAATTTTGATATAAGATGGATAGCAAGTTCCAGAATTAAAAATTCCATTAATGATTGTTTGCTACACACACACACACACACACACACATGTATGCCTTCTTCTCCAATTGTAAAAGGCTGTAATAATGCCTATCCCAAATTTTCCACTGACATTAATTCACATTTTATTTATCTGCTTTTTGACATATAAATATAGTTATAATTTACAATACTATTTAAACTTTATTATCACAAATTAAATGTCCTATTTTGTTCTTGTCTTGTGGATATATTTGCTAAATTAGATTTTACATAGACAGAAACTGGAGATGGATTTGAAAAAAACATATCTACCAGTATTTGAAGTACAACTACATTTGAGAACGCCCACATCGAATGAGTCTCCAGAGGAAGCTGAAGAGAAGGCTCAGAAGTCTGAGCAGTTCCTTGATGATACTCTATCATGTGATGATGATGATGACTATTTTGAAAACAGAAGAAGTTTTGTGAGAACCTCAAGTGAAGACTTTCTCATGAAATACAATCAGCCGAGCAAGTTTGGTATCCTCCTCAGACGTATCCTTTCAGGTAAGACAAAAGGAAGCATACTGGCAGCTGCAAATAATAAGCAAAAAAAAAAATGAAGTTTACACTTTATGAGTTTGGGTAGTATGATATTCATACATGCTATGGCAAGCAGGGACAGAACATGTGGGTGACAGTACCTTTGACATGTGTAGGATCTCTCACCCAGGGGCTTCCGAGCGCTCCTGATCAGCATGCACTTACCTGGAATGGCTGCCCAAAGTGCAGACTCTTAAGCAAGGGTGCCACTCCGTGGTAGAGTGTTTGCCTAGCATGTGTGAGGCCCTGATCCTTCTCCCAGACCTGCAGTAAAGGAGAACACACTCTGGGACTCTTATCTGACATCTCCTGTCTTGGCATCAGAGTCTGGTGTCTGCTGATGGAATACCCTTTCAGCAGGTCTCCATAATTGACTCTCTGGATGTTTAGAAAATATTCATATATATTAAGGTGTTGTCTAGAATCTTAAAATGTTAATCAATTTTTATTTTCTCCCTTTCAATGAATTCTAATAGACACAGGACTCCTGCTTGAGTCTGAGCAAGGGCACATCTATAATAAGTAAGTAAGAGACTTTTAAAATAAGTAGATGTATTTTGTTGGGTACTGTATTCACTTGAATATATTTTATTTATTGCTTTCTCTCAGATTTAATGAATTCCCAACAAACCTCCTTATACATCCCAACAGACTGGACTTTTCAATACAAATTCAAAATGTGATAGCAACCATAGAAAAATATATAAGTAAGTACTTGAAAAGGCTTAGTACCTTCTTTGAAAATCCTTTTTAAATTGATTATTATGTGATGCTCTTAGTCTGTAATATATAAGGCAGTTATAAATAAGATACCATGAATTCCAGTGTTTAGGATCAAGCAATGTTAATTTGGAATTATTTGAAGGGGTGTGTGTGTGTGTGTGTGTGTGTATGTGTGTGTGTACACATATGGTGTTAGAGTTTGCTAAAGGAACAGAACTGATGGAATGAGTTTGTGTGTATATACATATGTGTGTGTACATATCCATATCTGTGCACACACACACACACACACACACACACACACACACAC